CCTCCTTCTCGACGCTGTTTTTAATTTCTGCGTCTGGTGAGGAGCCGTGCCGTCCCCACGGGGACACGGGCCCCATGAGCTGCCCACAGAGCCTGCCCAGCACGGGCTCCGTCTCCTCGGCCCGGGCAGCTGCTGGAGGAGGGCAGGGCACCCAGCGAGGAACCGGGCCTGGCTCACGGTGTCACCGGGATCACAGGGGGAGCTCGGGGACGGATGATGTGGGAGGAACTGGGTGTCACGGGGATGTTGAGTCATATAGGGTGGGCTTTCTCTACGGGGGATGAAGCTGCCAGGCAGTCATCTCCTGTAGCAAGCTGTGACACGGCCGATGTCCCCAGCCTAGTGAGGCACCCTGGAGAGGGGCCAGCACTCGCTGCGGGTCCTCGGCACTTGTAGCCAGCTCCCCTCGCAGCTGGGCCCCAACCTCCCGTGCATGCCAGCTCCCCTGCACTGTTCCAGCACGACACCGAGGGCTGCAAGCCCTAAGAGCCCTTTTCCCGGGGAAGTCACCCCAAAGTTTGTGAGCCTGAGCTTGGCATGAGCGGCTTGCGCAGCCGGGTGACATGAAGCGAGCTGGCAGATGGACAGCCGGCAGGATTACGCCGGTGTTTATCACATTATGGGGATACATAAAGGCCACTGAGATCAGGGCTTCGCGCGTTCAGCCTGACACACAGTAAAGGACGGAGCCTGCCCTAAAGAGCTTGAGCCTAAATCTGAATCAAGAGCTCCCGGCGGCTTCAGGCAGCTGTGGGGGGCAGGCGGTTTCCCCGCTCAGCGCACGGCATTTCTCAGGGCACGGTGTGGGGGTGCAGGAGGTGATTGCTCGGCCAGGTCAGGCCCCTTCTGCCTTGGCTGGCATCTCCTTGCCTGCCCCAGCAAACCGTGGCTGTGGACAAGGAGGTGTTAATTTGTGTGAGGCTCCTTGCCCTGGGGGTGCTCCCCGAGGAGGTGGTGCCCTCCTCTCTGCTCTCTTGCTTGAAGGAGCCTCACGTGGTGCCACGACTTCTCCCTCCTCTTCCCCGCCGCCTGCAGAAAGCCCAGTGCCTGTGCCCCACCGGCACTTCTTGTCATGTGCAAAAGCCAGTTTGGATCCACGAGACACTAAGAGTTGCTCTGACGTTGCCTTTGGAGATTCGGGTCTATACCCGCAACCAGGGCTGGGGCTAACGGGGGCAACCAAAGGTGGGAACTAGACTTGCTTTTCCAGGCACCCATGAAGACTTTGAGTGTGGAGCCTGGGAGTCCACCGAGCCGTTGCAGGAGCCATTGCAGGCCTCGTGAAGAAAGGCGTTACATGAGTTTGTGTGAAGATTGAAAACATCCCAGCCACATTTGCATGTGAATGGGGATGCTGAATTTCATGGCATAACCAAACACTAATCAACCACTGCCTGGTGTCTCTTGCCTTTCTTCCGAAGCCTCTAAGCTTGTCCACTTTCAGAAAAAGAAGGTGGATTACGGTGTCCTGCAGGCCCTGGGCTGTGTAGCTTCTGCCCAGTGCTTGCGAGCAGCCCCTTTGGGGCTAGACATGTTTCTCCCACCTTCCCCGTGGTGATGGCACTTGTCTGTCCTTGCTTGGCTGCTGCCTGGCTCGCCCATGCTACAATCCTGACCACCTCGCTGGCCCCCGAGTCCCTCGGCCACCCCAGGAGCTCAGCGCTCTGTTTGCATAACCAGCAAAGCTTATTCTAAATCCTGCTAAGCCAGCCCAGGTGGTGGATGACAGGGAGCTCCAGGGAGCAAAGCCCACGTCCTCCCTGAGTTTTCCACAGGGCAGATGTCAAGTTTGGTGCAGGAGCATATGTGTGCATGCACTGCCATGCCACGAGGAGAGGAAGGAGCAACAGCCAAGCTCCTCGAGCTACAGCCCTCCGATCCTACACACACAGGGTGATGTTTGCTCTCCCAGACCCTTGGCCCTGCTCTGCCTCAAGAGCCAGTGCAGAATTGCTCCTCTCCGCACATATATACCTGTGCGTGTCCCAGCCAAGCAGAAGGGTCTTAGTCATGTGTGGGGGACAGGCATGTGTGCATGTGTCCTGAGCACCTATCTCTCCGCCTTGTGTTGGACTCTAACTTTGATCCTGGGTTTGTTTTCTAACTGCCTGTGTCCTGCCTCTCCCCACTTCTCCCTGCCCCGCTCCACCCACTGTGCTCCCTCCCTGCAGATTTTATTGGGACCTCATCATGCTGCTCCTGATGGTGGGGAATTTGATCATCCTGCCTGTGGGCATCACCTTCTTCAAGGATGAGAACACCCCTCCCTGGATCGTTTTCAACGTGCTTTCAGACACTTTCTTCTTGGCTGACCTGGTGCTGAACTTCCGGACAGGCATTGTGGTGGAGGACAACACGGAGATCATCCTTGACCCTCACACCATCAAAATGAAGTACTTGAAGAGCTGGTTCCTGGTCGACTTCATCTCCTCCATCCCAGTTGACTACATCTTCCTCATCGTTGACCTGGAGACCCAGGTGGATTCTGATGTCTACAAGACAGCCCGGGCCTTGCGCATCGTCCGCTTCACCAAGATCCTCAGCCTGCTGCGCCTGCTGCGCCTCTCACGCCTCATCCGCTACATCCACCAGTGGGAGGAGGTGAGAACCCCTTGGGGGTCCAAGGCCCCTGGTCAGGGTCTCGGGCCAGGTCAGGGATCCCTGGCTGTGGGGTACAGCAGCTGGTGGGCAGGGGTTCAGAGGGCTGTTCTGGGAAAAGAGTTTCTCTGTAGCTCCACTCCTACCTCTTCCCCAGATCTTCCATATGACATACGACCTGGCCAGTGCTGTGGTGAGGATCTTCAACCTCATCGGCATGATGCTGCTGCTGTGTCACTGGGACGGCTGCCTCCAGTTCCTGGTGCCCATGCTGCAAGACTTCCCCAAGGACTGCTGGGTTTCCATGAACCGCATGGTGGTGAGTGCCCTGGGCAGGGGCGATACCGGCCGTGCCCCTACCTGGGGGAAGGAGAGGATTTGGTTGCATGTCTCATACTCTAAGGCTGGAGCTGCCTGGGTCCATGTGCTGCAGAGCAGCATCTCTCTGGTCACAGCCCTGCAATACCAGTGAGATGGGGTAGAGGGAATCTCTGCATCACCTTCCCATCTCAGCCCACCTTGGCTGCTGCTGGAGTCGGAGCAGCCAGGGGAATCCCTCGTGTCCTGCCAGGAGGGAACAGGGCACTCCTGCCTCCTCCCCCAAGCAGGGGCTGGTGCAGGCTCAGGGCTTTGCACGGTCCCCAATGGCTCCTGGAGCAGAGCTCTGCCCTTTGGGCTTGGACACGTCAGAAACCTTTTCCTCACTGGGGCTCTGGGGAGGGGGAGGCTGGAGGGTTCAGCCCAGCAGCTCCTTCTGACAGACCCCCCAGTGCCACTGTTCCCTCGTCTGCAGAACGACTCCTGGGGGAAGCAGTACTCGCACGCCCTGTTCAAGGCCATGAGCCACATGCTCTGCATCGGCTATGGACAACAGTGCAACCCAGACCA